ATTTCATCTCTCTTTCTGCTTTTTTCACTTTACCTCTCTTTTTTAATTTTCTCTCTCTGCTTTTTTCATTTTATCTCTCTCTCTGCTTTTTCATTTTCTCTCTCTTTCTGCTTTTTTCATTTTATCTCTCTTCCTGCTTTTTCATTTTATCTCTCTTTCTGCGTTTATTTTTTTCACTTTACCTCTTTTTTTCATTTTCTCTCTCTTTCTGTTTTTTCATTTCATCTCTCTTTCTGCTTTTTTTTCATTTCATCGCTCTTGCTGCATTTTTTCATTATATCTATTTTGTCATTTTCTTACTCTTTCTGTGTTTTTTTTTTTCATTTTATCTCTCTGCCTTTTTCATCTCCTCTCTCTTTCTGCTTATTTTCATTTTCTCTTTTTTGCTGCTTTTTTTTCATTTTATCTCTCTTTCTGCTTTTTTCATTTTATCTCTCTTTCTGCTTTTTTCATTTTATCTCCCTTTACGCGTTAATTTAAACAGAGTCTGCCGACCTTAAAACAGTCGTCCGAAATATGCCTTTTCCCGACTTTCACTTCGTGGGCGATCATAGCTCTCCCCAACAACCTATCCCTTGTAGCCCTTATGAATGTTTGTCACTTTGCCATCCTCCCCAAGACCGTTCCACGATCCATTACATAAACTCATCAGATAGGTGATCCATTGTTGACCACTGTCCCCCTTACTCTCGATCTACTCTGTAAGTATAGATCACACCTTCCACTTTTACTGTGTCAAGTTAATATCAGCTGACTCTTTTTGATTATGGTTAAAAAATCTTCTTTTTTTTTCATTTCCTTGAGGCACTTTCGTTGCTTAAACAATTCACCCGTGGCAAACTCATTTTATAGCATCCTAGTTCTATTTCCTCAAGCCTTTTCTTTTAATGGAAGATGCGATTGTCCAGAAATCTCCGCCATTTCAGGGGATTTATATTGCATAACATTTCAGTCATTATTCTTTGTTTCTAACAAAAATTTCACTGGGCAGATATTTTTTTTTTTTTTGTGTTGACTCGAATAATATATAGAAAACCTCAATCACGACACATTATCACTTTCATCACCGGTGACTGATCACATAATTTGAACTGTTATGAAAATTTTATTTATCAAGTTCAGGTATAAAAATATTTATCACATTTTCTTTAACACTCCTTTTTTATTTATTTTTTTTTAATAAAGTAACTAAGAAAACATTGTAAGCTGAATGAGCAATAACCAAAACGGAGACTTTAAATGAAATGGTAATCTTTATAACATCATCAAAATAAAATACTCGCCAGCGGCGTGAAGTAGGTAAACCACTGCTTGTGGTGGACTACTTAGACTCTAATTTACGCCCACTTACAATAGTGTTCAACATATTGATGAGGATTGGTACATACCCATTAGTGTTCATAGTGACGGTACATAATAGAAACTGAGGCACTTTGAAGTACCTGAACGTTACTAACGCCTCTATCAGACATATGAGTAAGCACTTGGCATAAGCCTTCCTGAGCTTGAAACGAGTCAAGTTGTTAACTCAAGATCGACGGATAAGCACGTCTGTAGCTGTTTTTATATTTTTGGACGTGTTTATTCGTCTGTGTCCGAAAAACCCTTTCGGTAAAAAACGTATATACACAGGGAAGGAGTTAAAACGACTGTAAATGTTGAGGGAATGAAGTGATTACTGAGTCATTCGATTTCTACGGCAGTATATTTAAAGATATTTTTTTAGATTGTAAAAAATGAACGATTTTACTAAATGTTCTTCAATGGTTTAGCGGTACAAGTTTTACTCATTAACCCATAGCTGTTGGGAGAATTGGGGTATTCATGCCTTTCCCAATGGTAATTGCAAGATAATATAGCGAACCCAACGAGAACTGTAACTCGGCTTTCAAATTAACAATTCCGAGCCAGTATTCATTACACCACCCGCATATCAAAGCTTAAGGCATCTGCTATTACCTAACGGTCACCAGTCCTTATATTGGTAGTCGTTCGGGAACCTGTGATGTTGCTGTAAGCACTGAAAAATGAATAGAGAAAGACGTAAGTTTAGGATGCGTTTTCCCGCCGTTTTTATTCAAATTATACAGAGAGACGATCCTAAGATAACATGAAGTCCTACCATGATTTATAATCAGTGGGTACAATCTTAACGACACGAGATACGCAGATGATATTGTACTTAGTAGGGAGACAGATAGAGAACTGTAAGTACATCTATACAGATGAGATGACGAAAAAGCGAGAGAAATGTTGTAACAAACAAGTATAAAAAGAAACAATAGATGAACTTTACCAGGGGTGCGGGTAGGCCAAAACCGGAGCTAAAAATGAAGATGCCAAAAGTTTAACTCTCTAGGAAGAGTTTTAGTAGCTGTCGAAAAAAGAAAACACGTATTGAGCGAAAGATACCTACCAGCAGCTCATCAAAGTATTAAGAAACAGGGGAATTTCGTTAGAAACAATGAAATTAGTGCTCGACTATGCTGGACACTTCTGTCCAAAGGGAGGAAGAAGAGGTTAAGACAACAGCAATATGTTTGCACACCAGGATACTGGGAACGCCATTGACGGAAGATGTGAACAACGCTTAAAGAGAAGGGAAACAAAAACGAATCTCTATTATTTAAGCTACATGGATAGCTTGTTCGTGATGGGTGAGGGTTAAATTGCTCGACTGACACCTGAAGAAGACTATAGAGCAAAATAGCCGAAACATTGCGATGATAACAAAAAAATGAGGATATTCATTCGAATGTAAGTAAAGAACATCTAGTAAAAACGTTCATTGTTCGGACTGTTATCCTCATCTTTATTGCCATATTCACGACCTTTCGGCGATTGTACGCTCCGGCTTTATTCAGGATCTCTCTATATTTCACAGATGAGGTATTGTAACTATTTACATTGTCCAAACTGTTGTCCTCCTCTTTATTGCCATATTCACCACTCTTCGGTCGTTACGCGCTCTGGCCTTCTTCAGGATCTCTCTATATTTCTGAGATGACGTATTGTAACTATTTACACGATTTACATTGTTCGGTCTGTTGTGATCATCATTATTGCCATATTCATGACCTTTCGACCGTTGTACGCTCCGGCTTTTTTCAGGATCTGTCTATATTTCAGAGATGAGATGTTATAAATGTTTGTACTATTTGCATTGTCCGGACTGTCGTCCTCCTCTTTATTGTCATATTTACCATGTTTCGGGTGTTGTACTCTCAGACCTACGTCAGGTGATTGTAATTTCGAACTTAAGCATTTATTTCGTTCACCGGGTGGGGAAGATTGTTCTAGTGCCATGTGAAATGCTATTTTTGAATGTCTCAGTTATCTCCCCTTAACTCAACTCTCCAATTTTTGTTCACTGCTGCAGTATTGAACTCACAACTCTTTGGGACAAGACACTGGATCCAACCAAGTCTTTTGCCAACTGGGCCATGTCGTCTTAATGACCTCATCTTAGAAATATAGGCAGTTAAAATGTGATAGCTAATTTCGGTCCTTTTAATGGCTGGGATTTATAATTACGTATTGAGTATAGATGTTATCCAGATCTTTTAAACAGACAAAAATGGGTAATGTAATGATTCTGTATGCTGGGAAGCCGTCTGTAATTTCCGGTAATGCAGAAAAATGTAATTAGAAACAAACAAACAAAACACTGCTGAGTTGCTATATAATATCTAACAGCCTATATTGCAGTGAATGCTGCAGGCTCTCTGCACAAACAAAGAAAAGAACTGAAACGACAAAGACGTGACCATACAGAGAAATGCTTAGAATATAATGGACTGAACATGTGAGCATTTCCTATTTCTTAATTCTTTGCTTACTTTCTGGAAGGCATTTTACTCTTTTCGAATTCACGCTATAACTGTCTTATACAAAACCCCGTCTCTCATTTTACACAGTTTTAAAAAGAAGAGGACACGAAAGATACAATCAGAAAAAGACGGAATTCCTGTGAGACATTGTAAGAAAATAGTGTTTAGAGAATTGGACACTTACGGAACACATGGATGGCAAGCGGCGGGTGGGGGGTGCAAGCAATCGGCGAGCAATATGCCTAAAGAGCTTTCATAAAAGACGATAGAGCCTATACTCGTAATTAGACAAACGCTCGTAAGAGCTGTAAAAGAATGGAAGTAGTGGAGAGACATTATCCTCAATATACTGAGGGGACACTTAGCCTAAAGGAATAAGAATCTATATTCAATCTACGCTTATTTCTTTGTAGTTTATCGCTTACATTAAAACTTCCTGCAAGCGCTCATGTTTTGACCATGTTATTCCCGTCCTAGGTCTGACGATAAACTACATCCGGCATCAAGGTCTCTGATCAGGAGGTTTTGAGGATCATGGGGCCATCTCTTAACATGCTGTTGTTGCCAGAAGCACACTGACTAGGGCTGGTAGCATCTGTTAGACCCCAAGCTATAGGGAAAGAGTTAAGCCCCAAACTGGGTTCAAAGCACTATGAAAGTATAGAAGATTTTATAGTAAAAATATAAAAAATAGATTATCTTAGTAAAAAAAATTACCAGCAGTATATTTTGTAAAATAAAAAAAAATTAATAAAAAATTAAATTTACAAGCAATTCATTTCTTTAATGGAAAAAAAATACTACCAACAATACATTTTTGCCAATGTAATTATTAATGCTCCCCTAAAAATTAAATTTTAGCATTAAATAACCCATAACAACCAAACGAACATTACTATTCTATGCATTCATCTGGATAAGCACATCTTTTTGGTTCCAAGATTCCTTTTCACCTGTGAAGAAAAATGCCCAACATGCATGAGATTAGATATCACATAGCAGTTTAAACATGTTTTATTTGTCTAACCCTATTTTCCTATTTCTTAATTCTTTGCTTACTTTCTGGAAGGCATTTTACTCTTTTCTGATTCACGTTATAACTGTCTTTTACAAAACTTCGTCTCTCATTATACACAGGAAAATTTTTGCATCAACTTGATTGCGTGGCTCACGGTCATATCACGTTGACATACCGGTTCCCGTACGATCACCGAAGTTACGCAACCTCGATGTTGGTCAGTAACAAGATGGGTGACCACTTGGGAATACCAAGTGCTGTAAGCTTGGATATGGTCTTGGGGGCAATGGATAACAACTCGGAATTGGAAATCGAAGAGCCGAGTTCTAGTTTCCGTTCGGTTCGTTAAATTCACTTACGCACAAATACCAGTGAGAAAGGCATGAAACCATCTGTCCCCCCAACAGCCCTTGTTTAATAAGTACGAACTGTATCAGTAAATCAATATTATATCCAAAATTTTCCTTAATTATTTTACACGTATTTCACTACACGCAAGGCAATAAAGCCACTAAGACGCAAAGTGTTACTGAGTGTCAGATGTGAGATAGAAGAAACTGTTAACATAGAACTTACGGTTACATCTAGCCATTTCAGCTATAAAATGATGAGACCTTGCCATTAGTCTAGTACTTCCAATGTGAAAAAAAAAGAGATTTTGGCTTTAAATAACCTGAAAATAGTTGATAAGCCGTAAAAAATCAATCAGTAAATAAGTTCATGATCGTGATTTCTCTGTTATCTAGTTCCTATCTGGGACCTTTTTTTGTGAGAACTATCCATTCGGTATTCTCGTAGTTAATAGTTAGTCCTTTCTTCTCGCTTTTCCTTTAATGTCTTTTCACGGAATTCTTTTATCATCATAAATACAGTGTCTTCCACGTATCTAAAGTTTTTTTAAGCTTATCTAATCTAATAATAAATCATATTTTGTTTTCTAATTGCCTTTGTATTATTTCATTGTATATATTTGTTATAGTGAAACAACCTATCACACCCCGACAGTGATTGGTCAGTCTGAAAGAGGAGAAAATGAATGAGGAGAAAATAAAAGACGCGACGAAGTATTGTATTAGGTTGGTGCAAAAATAATGACGTAATAATGTCGTTTTTTGACGTACTACGTCAAAAACGACATTCTTACGTCATTATTTTTGCACCAACCTAACTCAAACGAGTTGCAGTACGAATCTCCGTGACGTTATCTCCCGTTTTCCTTAAGAACTCTTACTCATTGTATTTTCCCTACAATAAAGCCCTTGTTGAAACCTACCCCCAAATTAGGTTAGCTTAGGTTTAGTTTTTGAATCTTTAGTTTCTTTTTTTATTAAACTTAGCTAGGGCATGTATGCTCATTGGCCCCTTTTATTTCTGTCCCTATTTTTCTTTGAGTTTAATTCCTCATCCCCTCACTCGTTAGGTGGTCAGTGACGTCAGTTCTCTGGTAAATGCGGAGCGTTTTTTGTTTCGTGTGAATTTTCGTATCTGTTGTTGTGTCTGAATGAGTGCATGTCTGTGTGAGTGCTTGGGATGAATGAATGTTTTTAATTTATTCTAGTCTCGCATTAATTTCGTCTAGTTAACTGATGTCCCTGCCACATTTAGTGATTGTGTTTTTTTTTTTTTTTAATTACTAACATGATTTTGTTTAGTTTCTTGTAAATAGTTATTAGTTCATACCGTAAATACTCATAGGTGCTAGTTTTTAAAATTTTTAAATTGCTGTTTTATTCCCCTCCCCACAGACGATATGTTGTACATATGGGGACTAGTTAGTATTTTTCATGGAGACATTGAGGTACTATGGTGGGTGTTGTGAGAAAGGTAACAATGAATGTATTGTTTTAATGCAAGAAATATTGTTTGTATGATTGCGTCAGCGTTTGGGACGAGCTAAGTTTAGAAGTTTAGACAGAAGACCGAACGCTTCCACCACTGTTATATTATGGAAATACATATCACAATAAAACCCTTTTTATTTGTTTTACCTAATTCCTGTGTTTAGCGTAATCTTTCCACTCGGAATTAGCTAGTAGCATATATCGTATTACCCACGATATAACAACCTCTATCTATAAAAGGCAGGATGTGTAACGAATGCACGGCAGGCAATTTTCGACGGATTTGCACCAAAATGTACATGCACATGCTCCAAGTTAGCGGAATAGCCAGGACCGAAGTTGCATGTCCCAACTCCCATCGATAGTGGAAATAATCGATTATTTTCATGCTTCTACGGCAGTTTTCATGTCGTTTGCAGCCATTTTCTACTGGCCAGAGTGAGAGCCAATAGCTGGCTGCCACGAATAGGCAGGAAGATTCTATTGGCCAGCGTGAGAGCCAACAGCTGATTGACACGAATGTTAGCTAGCATGCTAAAAAAATCGATAGCTGCATTCATCACAAGTGGGAAAACTTTAAATCTGCATGGCACTTTACTCCAATTGGCTCATTCGCTTGCTTAAACTCAACGTTGATTCTGATTCCGCAGAACTGGGTTGGGCGTGAAAAAGTATTTGTTGTTAACATTCTTTTTTCATTCGGTTTTTCCAGTTACGAATCCTTTTTTAAAGCTGATCGTTTTGTGTTCATTTTGTTTAGTTCTTTTTTCGTAACAGATTTAATGTTTAGCATAGAGCTTAGAAAAAAATCGCAGTGTGAGATAGGCAAGAAGTAAGGCATGTTACAACATCAGCACGGCAAAGGGCACTCCTTTAAAGGCAAAGAAGGGCAAAAATATTTTAAGTCAAGTGATAGCGATTGCTGTATGAGTCGTATGATTTTTGAATCAAGCACGGGCAACGCCTTGCCATGCTGCTAGTATGATCTAAATCTTAAGAGATACTTTCAGTAATCACTGTTAATACATCAGTGGTGGACCTAGAGTTGCAGAAAACATATTGCTTGTTTAAACGAAGGCCGTCGAGATGAGATTCTAGGGGTTTGCCAAAAACGAGGTAGAAGATTACAACTGGATATAGGCGATTATTCGGCCAGAGATACCATAGTTCCTGAGCTTCCAAATTTAAGGAGAAAGATACATACGGTCAGCTTTTGCTTAATATCTGCTGCTTTTTGGAAATACCTCCCGCTCGTGTGCTTTCCTCGAAAACTGGGACCATAAGCCACTCAAGTCACTGGTGCTACCACTATCTATCCTCCTTATCCTCATAATCTTCATTTCCGAACACCTCCGCTTTCATTCATATGGCATACCTCATTCATCGTAACCATTTTAACAGTAAGTCTCTATTTTGAGCTGCTCTCATGCCATATATATAAATTGTTATATTTAAATTATAGAATGTAATTGTAGAGTCCGTTTAAATTATCTGCTAGCCTATTACGTTTGATTTCCAATTTATATCAAGAGGAAAATTAAAAAGAAGTTTCTTCTCTCCACCCAGCTATGAGTTCCCGTCTGACGTCTGGGTATGACGATAAACTACATCCGCGTCCTGGGTATGACGATAAACTACGTCCAACATAAAGGCCTCTGATGAGGTGATTTTGAGGAGCGAGGAACCACCTCTTAATTTCTGGTGTTCCGAGGTCCACCCGAACTCGGGGTGGTAGCAACTGTTAGGATCCCAGCTATGGGCAAATAGTTAACACCCAAACTTGTGTAAAAATAGGTTTTAATACCAGAAATATTTTGCAATAATTTTTTAAGGAAAAATTATTATCAGCAATATGGAAAAAATTACCAGCAATACAAACAGCTATATATTCTTTGAAAATAAATATGACCAGCTATAGATTTCTTCAAGGAAAATATTCCCAGAAATAGACTTTTTAAGAAAAACATTACCAGCAAGAAAAATTGTCGGCATTAAATAACCCATTGAGGTTGATATGCCGTAAAACAAACCAAAAAATCAAACCAGCTATGAGTTAAGTAGCTAGCTAGTCTAGTTTCTCTAGACTTGAGCGGCAACTAATGTAAGAGAAGGACAATTCGGAATTCTAATTTGTGAAGAAATCAAGAGGAAAACACTCCACTATCTTTTCTTTGGACGATTGTCAATTTTCACATGTTACAAAAAGCGGACTCTGACAAAAGACTTGATCGCCTCCCTCCGGAAGGGAAGTATCTTAAAAAACAATCCGTTCTTCAAACTTGCTTTTCTTTATATAATTTGATCAGTGCGTTAATCTACTGTCAAGGGGAATAATCTTTATCCAATATCAGCTTGTATCCCGGCGTTGATTTTGTCTCTTACCTAGTATTTTTTTTAATCTTTCTTGACGATTCCTTCGATAGAAATTTTGAAAACTAAATATGATTAGATTAAGTTCAACAAAAAAGTATACTTTTACAAAATGAACAAGATAACTGCAGTGATCTGCTCTCAAGTTAACAATAATTATATTCCGAATAATAAATCAAATCATATTCTATCAGTTTAATATTTAACGTTATTATTTCAATGAATCTTTCTCCGTGGGAATATTTCTATTTTCTTTTTCCTTATGACTCTTTTCAGAATTGAAATTGCCTATCTGTACTTGTTAGGTATTGTAATACACGGTGCAATGTCAACTACAATGAATAGGGTAAATAAGACTGTTCTGAGCGAAACATTTATCTAGAGAAATATTACCAGTAAATCATAATTCAAAGTCACCCATTTGACTTTTACATATACATATACTGGGTGTACAAAAACCGATTCACTTTGCTGGGTTTTGAAAATGGTGTTCTTCAGTTTGAATATTTATAAAAATTCATTTAATATTTAATTTAAAACGTTGATCTTATTTGTTAGTTAATAAACTTTAATAATTCTTAAATTTAACCAATATTCAAGTTAAGTCAATAAACACTGCATTTATTTCTATTTAAATTGTGTGCATATTTCGACCCCCATAATAATATATATATATATATATATATATATATATATATATATATATATATATATATATATATATATATATTCCCAAGAGGATAAAATCCAGGTAGAACTCAATGTCCAGGACAGAGTAAAAATATTTAAAAGGCTCAAACACATATATTCCATAGTTATAATTTATTACATTGGAATCGTAATCACAAACCAATTCATCAGACCTACAAATTCCGATTTCTTTTTGAATTTGTAGGTCTGATGAATTGGATCGTGATTACCATTCCAATGTAATAAATTGTAACCATTAATTATTAGTTTGAGCATTATATATACACAGACATATATATATATATATATATATATATATATATATATATATATATACATAATTAAATTGAAAGAGAATGGAAT